GACTTGTGGACTTCAACTCCCAGAATTCCTGAGCCAACGTGGGGAACGATGGGCCTTTTATGACTTGTGGACTTCAACTCCCAGAATTCCTGAGCCAACATGGGGAATGATGGGCCTTTTATGACTTGTGGACTTCAACTCCCAGAATTCCTGAGCCAACATGGGGAATGATGGGCCCTTTATGACTTGTGGACTTCAACTCCCAGAATTCCCGAGCCAACATGGGGAACAATGGGCCTTTTATAACTTGTGGACTTCAACTCCCAGAATTCCTGAGCCAATATGGGGAATGGGCCTTTTATGACTTCTGGACTTCAACTCCCAGAATTCCTGAGCCAATATGGGGAATGGGCCTTTTATGACTCCTGGCCTTCAACTCCCAGAATTCCAGAGTCAACATGGGGGACGTTGGTGGCCCCTTTATAACTTGTGGACTTCAACTGCCAGAATTCATGAGCCAACATGGGGAACAATGGCTTATGACTTGTGGACTTCAACTCCCAGAATTCCTGAGCTAACATGGGGAATGGGCCTTTTATGACTTGTGGACTTTAACTCCCAGAATTCCTGAGCCAACATGGGGAACAGTGGCCCATTTATGATTTGTGGACTTCAACTCCCAGAATTCCAGAGTCAACATGGGAAACGTTGGTGGCCCCTTTATAAGTTATGGACTTCAACTCCCAGAATTCCTGAGCCAATATCGGGAATGGGCCTTTTATAACTTGTGGACTTCAACTCCCAGAATTCCTGAGCCAACATAGGGAACAATGGCTTATTTATGACTTGTGGACTTCAACTCCCAGAATTCCTGAGCCAGCTAGCTTTTGTGATCCCTAGTAGAGATAATTCCGGCCTCCACTCCGTCCTTTTTGATTGAGCATCTCTTCCAAATACTTTATTATCAGCTGGCGCCAAAAAGCCCGAACTTTCAGGCACTCCCACCCCATGTGGCAGAAGGTCCCTTGGGCAGCATTAGGTTTCCCAACATCGTGGCGATACGAGGTTTTTGTTCATTTCAGCTCATATTGTGGGTGGGATGTGCCACTTATAGAACACCACAAGGACACACACCCAGACCCGGTTGGAAACTTCGGCTCTGGATTGTCGTCAAGTCTCCTTTTTGTGAAGTTCGGTCGTTAACTTTGAGCGGCCGCGAGAAGCGTTTGTATTCCGAAAGGGAAGCCCACCCACCCCCATTTGCACAATTTCAAACTCCCCAAAACGCACACTCACAAAGTCAACTGTAAAAAAGTTTATTTTTATTTTTTTTTTGTCCAGAAAGTTAGCAATTTTGCAGAGAGGGGGGGGGGAATAAACACCCACAAAAGCAAGAATCTCAAAACGCTCAACGCAAGAATGTCGCTTCGACGAGCCCCCCGTTTCGCTCCCTCCCTCCGTTGCTGGGGAGGGGGCTGGGGGGGCTGACTATTGTCCTACGGGCCACATCAAAGCCTCTTCAGCCCCCCTTCACTCTGACATCCACCCCCCACCCCCAGATCACACACACGCACCCCGCCTCCATTAGCGGGAAACAAGCAGAACGAACCGGGAGGGGGGGAGGTATCTGGATTTATTTTTTTTAAAACATGCTATGCAGGACTCAAAGGAAAACTTTGCCAAAACCAGGTTTACGCTCCCCTCCACACACAGGCATAAAAGATTTGAGTTAAAAACACTGTGAGAGTTTCGGGGTGCTCGGATGCGCCCCCCAATCCCACAACGCGCGGAAATGAAGACACAACGCGGCGAAGTCAAGAAACCTTCTAAAAATTTTTTTTTCAACATAAATAAAATTTCAACCGGATTACAACAGAAAACCTACAACGGGGGTCCTGGGGAAAATGGGGTGGGGGGTGTGGGGTGGGGGTGTCAGCAGGAATCAGGGTAACAACCCCCCCCCAACTTCGGGTTATTAGGAAATTAGTTTTACAAGGTTGGCTGTTTTTTTTTGTTTTTTTCCTAAGAAACAGGCAGAAAAGAACAGTCGGAAGGAAGAATCGCGACCACCACCGCCGAGAGGGGCGCTGAATTAAGACAGTCCCCCCCCCATGGCCCCCCCTATAAAAATCTTGTTTTCCTTTGGCAACTGGGCAAGTCAGCCGCCCCCTCCCCACATCCCCTAGGACTCTCGCGTGTCTGCCCCACCTGCCCCCCAAAATGTCCAGACTTCTCAACAAATCGTCAACCCGCCGTTGCGCCGCGACTCCGCTCCGTCCGGACGGGAGTCCCTTCAGTTCTCTTCGTCGCTGTCGTCTGGACTGATGGCCGGGCTGGTAAGGCTGTAGGTGGGCGATGTGGGGCTGTAGCCCGGAGAGGTCGGGGAGTAGGTGGAGCCTTTGGGGGAGGTGGGGGAGTAGGTGGGCGAGGTCGGGCTGTACTTGGGGGAGGTGGGCGAGTAGGTGGGCGAGGTCGGGCTGTACTTGGGCGACGTCGGGGTGTAGACGGGCGACGTCGGCGAGTAAGTGGGGCTGGTCGGGCTGTACTTTGGCGTGGTCGGGCTGTAGGTGGGCGAAGTCGGGCTGTACTTGGGGCTGGTCGGGCTGTACTTGGGGCTGGTCGGGGTGTATTCCGGAGAGCTGGGGCTGTAGGACGGGCTGGTCGGGGTGTACTTGGGGCTCGTCGGGCTGTAGCTGGGCGAGCTGGGGCTGTAGCTAGGCGACGAGGGGGTGTAGGTGGGCGACTGTGGGGTGTAGCGGGGGCTGGAGGGGGAGTAGCTGGGCGAGGTGGGACTGTAGGACGGGCTGGTCGGGGAGTAACTGGGAGACGTCGGGCTGTAGTTTGGAGACGTCGGGGTGTAATTAGGAGAGGTCGGGCTGTAGCTGGGAGAAGTCGGGCTGTAGCTGGGAGAAGTCGGGGTGTAGTTTGGAGAAGTCGGGCTGTAATTCGGGCTGGTTGGGCTGTAGCTAGGAGAGGTCGGGCTGTAGCTGGGAGACGTCGGGCTGTAGCTGGGCGATGTTGGGCTGTAGCTGGGGCTGGTTGGAGAATAACTAGGTGACGTCGGGCTGTAACTAGGACTGGTTGGGCTGTAGCTGGGTGACGTCGGGCTGTAGCTGGGCGACGTCGGGCTGTAACTGGGGCTGGTTGGAGAATAACTAGGTGACGTTGGGCTGTAGCTGGGGCTGGTGGGGCTGTAGCTGGGCGACGTTGGGCTGTAGCTGGGCGACGTCGGCGAGTAACTCGGGGAGGTGGGGCTGTAGCTGGGGCTGGTGGGGCTGTAATTGGGACTAGTCGGCGAGTACGAAGGAGAGGTGGGGCTGTAGGAAGGAGAGGTGGGGCTGTAGCTGGGGCTTTGCGGGGTGTACACCCCGGGCGAGCGTGGCTCGTAGGCGGGAGAGGTTGGGGAGTAGCTGGGAGACATGGCGCCCCCTGGAAAAGCAGAAGGAAAGCGACGTTAAGCCAGGACTCCACCCTTTGAGGACGGCATTGGGAAGGAGAGCGGGATGGGGGTAGCCACGTACCTGGAGACGGAATGTAAGGGCTGGAAGGTCCCGGAGAGCCGGGGGAGCCGGGAGTGGGCGACCAGGCGGGGGAATACCCGGGGCTGTAACCGCTGGCATCGGAAGCCGCGCTGGGGGAGAAACTGGCGGCCCCAGGGGTCATTCCGCTCCCTGCAAAGAGGAGGGAGGAAGAGATGCAGGTGAGAGAGATACCAGCTCCCCCCCCACAATTTCTCTACTCCTTCTTTCCTACATCCTTCTTCCTTCCTTCCTCTCCCTTTTTCTCCCTCTTCCTCCTTCCCTTCCTTCTCTCCCTCTTCCTTTCCCTCCTTCCCATCTTTCCTTCCTTCCATTCTTTTTTCTCCCTCCCTTCCCTTTTTCTCCCTCCTCTTCCCTTCCTTTTCTTTCTCCCTTCCCCACCCCGCAGGGCTGTGAGCAGAGGGCACTTTGGCCCCTGGGGGGCACTTAACAGGAAATCAATTTAACGAGACCCGCCCGCATTCTTCTCCTCCTCCCCTTGCTCTGCGCATCCTACAATGCTGATGTTGGCAGGCGGGAAGCCCCCTAGGACCGGCCCACCCCGGGGGAGGGGGGGCGAAGGGTGGGCTGCATATTTGAAGCGCTGTCAAACTTCAACACCCACAGTGGAATTCTCCGATTAGGAAGCCAAGATTCTTTTTTAAAAGGGGGGAAACGGCTTGGCGTGTGCCAAGTTCACCGAAACGTTTTGATTCCCAATAGACCTAAAGAAATTGGAGATTCTTTTTTTTGCCTGACGCCCCCGAGATCCTGCGAGGCGTATTTCCGTGATAATAATAATAATCCAAAAAGGGGGTTGGGATCAGTTCCCCCTGCCTGGGGATCCATCCATGGGGTCCTTCATCGCTTGACGGATGGAAATCAGCCCATCCGTACAAACCCCCATCGACGGGAACCCCTGATTAACGGTGATATGTACTTGGAAGTCAGGGTGCAGGCAGATACATATATGGCTGAATATAGCATATCTTTATGAGGGTTCTCATTTTTAATGTGGGCCAATGTGCCCACAGTAAAAAATGACAATAAAGCTAAGCTTATCTTAGTTACCCTGAATCTTATATGTTACCTTGAATCTTAAATTTTATCTTAAATGTTACCTTAAATTTTATCTCTTCTTAAATCTTAATTATATCTTAAATCTTCTCTTAAATCTTACTTTATCTTAATTCTTACATTATATTAAATTTTACCTTAAATCTTAATTTTATCTTAAATCTTCTCTTAAATCTTACTTTATCTTAATTCTTACATTATATTAAATTTTACCTTAAATCTTAATTTTATCTTAAATCTTCTCTTAAATCTTAACTTTATCTTAATTCTTACATTAAATTTTACCTTTAATCTTAATTTTATCTTAAATCTTCTCTTAAATCTTACTTTATCTTAATTCTTACATTATATTAAATTTTATCTTAAATCTTAATTTTATCTTAAATCTTCTCTTAAATCTTACTTTATCTTAATTCTTACATTATATTAAATTTTATCTCTTAAATCTTAATTTTATCTTAAATCTTCTCTTAAATCTTAC